TAAACGTTTATTGATGTAAACAAAGTAAGACATGGTACTGAAGGGAAGAAATATCTTTTTTGTATCTTTCCAGAAAGATAGTAAAAATAATTACTGCTCTCAATAAATTCACCATCCACAGGAAGAGTGATAGATTTGATAAAGTAAAAAATGTTATATAGAGGTGCTATAATACAGATGTCCAAAACACAAAGGGAACACAGAAAAACTAACTATGCTTTCAGGAGAAGGGAAGGTTTCAAAGAAGAGATGGTATCAGAATCGATACTGAATGAAAAACAGCAGTTTCTCAATTGGAGAGAAGGAAGGTCCTTCTCGGCAGAAGAAAATTTTGTACAGAAGACTTGATATTTCTAGTGTATTAGTTCTGCTTTTCCTTGTAGAGGAGGAAGTAGTGGTGGCAGTGGTGCCTAGAATGGCAATAGGTAAGACAAGTAAAGGCTGCATATCTGGTGAGGTATGCATGCTATGCTAATAAATTTATACTTTATCCTGAAAACAGTGGAGACTATTAAGAAGTGTACTCATGTATGTATGTACTGAGTACAATTTATGTACATACAGTGTATGTATGTACTGTATGCAATTTATATTAAGAAGACTGTTGGTACACAGAGGAAAAAGTTGGAGGCTAAAGACCAATTTTCAGATATTGTTGTTTGTAACCCATGTAATCAGTTTATTGAGAGACATCTTGAATTTCTGTTTAAAATTCAAATGAAATAGATAATATCTGAGATTATCTGACAGCGTAAGGATAATTTTTATAAAACTTTTATATCAGATACATATGTATGACCTAGGTCAAAAAGTAAAAGGTATTTATGGGTTCAGTTTGAGTTGGTGACTGGTGACTGACCAGATGAAGGAGTGAAGGGAAAAGTCAAGGAGGACGCCCAGGTGTCTGGTGTAGGCGCCTGAATGGATCGCAATGCCACTGTCCAAGACAGGGAACAGAGGAGACAGCCTGCTTTTATCAAGTGCACGTGAGAAAGCAATCTCTCTCAACATTCTTTCAGTGGCCACAGGCAACACTAATTATTCAGCAAAGACAAAGGACATACAGTCATTGCAGATTCAAGTTTATATGAATTGATAAGGGCACCTTAGGCAGTGGAGGGGTTCCAGAACTAAATCCCAAACCACAGAAAAACTGCAACTAGAGAAAGCAGACAGGGTAAGAGAAACAACACTGCTCAGAGAACTAACAGAATGTAAGAAATCCTGTCTCTACTCTAATAAGAGTCAATAGAGAATCATCACCCTAGGGAACTCAAGCATCTTTCTAGACAGACCACTGACAAGGTATTCTGTTTATTAGGTTTTGGTTGTTTTGGAGAGTGGGGGTGAGAGGAGTCTTTCTACTTTTATGACTTCTTTCTAAGTGTTCCCCCATCTCTTCCTCACACAACCACCTACAGGAGGTATTTCAGTCCTCTACATCTCTAGCAAGTCCAGTGAGTTCTGTAATACTATAAAATATCTAGCCCTCAGTTACCCTCTTAGAGCTTCAGCCTAAGAGAACAGGGCTAGAAGAACACAGCTTCTCTACTGACTTGGGATGGAATTTTTAGTCCTCCCAACACCCTCTACTCCTTAGCAGAAGGCTTTCCCCAATTCCTTTTTTTTTTTTTTTTACATGATTTTGTTTGTATTTTATTTTTTTTTTTAAATAATAATTTTATTTTTATATTCCCCCATACAATTGCAAACGCCCCATTCTGACCCCAATCCTTCCCCTCCCGCCCCCCACCCCCCAAAAAGTGTCTCTGGTTCATAGTTTTTTGTTGATTTTGATTTTCACTTTCTTTTTTTTTTTTTTTAAGATTTTTTTTTTAATTTATTTTTATTTATTTATTTATACAAGCACTGGGTACAGTCAGAAGCATGGGAGGGTGAGAGAATTCACCAGAGCCAGAGCGGGGAGCAGAGCAGGCAGAAGGACCAAAGCACACTGCTGAGGGGAGCAGCGGGCGGCAGGAGAGGTCTGCGTGCCATATGGGACCCTCCTCCGGTGGCCCGGGAGCAGCCGGGGAACGAACCGGCACTGCAGAGGCTGTGGACAGCTTTGCAACCCAGCACTCAACCGCTGCGCCACCGGGGAGGCCCTTGATTTTCACTTTCTTATATTCATTTTCCTGGTCCCTTATTTAAGTTTTCTAGATTCCTGCTATGAGTGAGACCATCCGGTATTTTTCTTTTTCTTTTTGGCTTATTTCGCTGAGCATGATCCCTTCCAGCGCCATCCATGTTGCTGCAAATTGCATGTGTTTATCTTTTTTGAATGCTGAGTAATATTCCATGGTATATATGGACCACATCTTCTTGATCCAGTCATCTATTTTTGGGCATTTGGGTTGTTTCCAAAGCTTAGCTATTGTAAACAGTGCTGCTATAAACATAGGGGTGCAGGTGCTCTTTGGAATTGATGTTTCTGTGTCCTTTGGGTAAATACCTAGAGTGGAATTGCTGGATCATATGGAAGCTCTATGTTTAGTAGGTCCAGAAATCTCCACACAGCTCTCCATAGTGGTTGGACCAGTTTGCACTCCCAATTCCTTTTGGGCCCTACACTACTCTTCTGATGAGCCTTCCCACTCCATTCCTCACAAACCTGCCCTAAACACTAAAGACAACTCAATGCCCTCTAATATTCCATGTTCTTAGACATGGTTTATATTTTGCTCCTGATATTCCCTCAACCTAAAATCCCCCTTCTCTCTGACAGGAATTCTACTCACCCTGGGCCTCTGTGATGGCATAGGGGTTAAAGTCTCAGCGCTATCAAGCTATCCCAGCCAGGGAGATAACCCACATGGCACAGCAGACCTCTCCTGTCTCACCCACTGCTCCCCTCAGCAGTGTATTTCAGTAGATCCACCTGTCCTACTCCCCATTTTGTCTCTGGTGAATTCTCTTACCCACCCCACACCTCTGTCCAACAACAGTTCTTGTATGCATAAATAAATAAAATAAATCTTATTTAAAAAAGGAATTCTACTTACCCTTCATGGTACATATCTCAAATGTCACTTCTACCACAGAATCACTCTATCCGACAATCCCCTTACCCTACCACCCCACCACCATCACCACCAAATCTGAATTTAGTCACACCTCCTTGTATCCATTGTACTGCCTATACCATGACATGGCACTTCATTCTTTGTCATCTACTATAAGCAACTGTACTTTATGTCTGTTTTCCACTAAGTTTCCTGAACATGTAAGCCATGTCATATCTTTCTTTCCAGTGCCCCACAATCCTTAACACAAAATAAGTCCTCTTATAAGAGCTTGCTGATTCAAACTGAAAAGCTACCAATTCATTTCACCAAAACTGACAGATCATGAAAACTACGGGTAAAAGGGAGATCAAATGCAGATTTAAAACAGACAGCCTCCCTCCCCTTACTTAACTGGTGGTGGTACTCCCCATTCCTCTGAGAAATTAAACCAACCTCAGCAAGGAAGACTCAGCAGGCATATTTGGAAATGGTGGCTAACTTGAAAGAACAAGTAGTTTCAAGGTTCGCCCAGCTGCTATTAGTCAGGTATTGACCTTGGGATGTGGTCACAGGGATTATATATTTTATTTTGCCATCCACTCCCACTAACACTCTATACCTCTAGCTATATGGGCAATAAAGAGTCTTTCATACAAGTTCTGAATATTATCTTTGAGCTCCTCTGGGAATGCGTAGCCACCTCTCAACCCTCCCATCTTTCCAGTGAGTGATTCTCCTGTGCTACATCTGCGGTCCTCTCCTCTTTAAAGTCATTTTTTTCTCAATATATCCAGCCCCTGCCATGAACCTTTTCCTACCCTTTACCATCCAGACAGAAAGAAGCCTGTCTTCTCAGCTGCCTGACTGAAAGACATGGCACACTCAAAGAACAGGTAGAACAAGTAAATAGTAATAGTCTTGATAATTGTAGCTGCCTCTGCAATCCCATAAATCCTACTTACTCACATTGATTATAGTTCTTAGCATTCCAATTTATAACTATTTTACATATCTTATCTCACTAGACTGTGAGCTTCTTAAAAACCACTTTTAGTTCCCAGAAAACCTCCTAGAACATACTGTGCACTCAACAAACTAGCAGTTTAGAGAATAACAAAATAAACTGCCACTTCAGGTCTCCTAACCAAGCTCAGTGACTATGTGAGTTCAGAAGAAGAAATATTTCAGAGGTGATCAAAACCAAAAAGCCTTTATATAGTAGTCAGTACTGTGATGCAAAGCTCAACTGAAGGCAGTCTCAAACAAGGGTCCTTTTGACAGGGCAACCATTCCCTACGTTCCTCAGATACTCACTATGGTCAAAGTAGTAAACTTAGTTCTCCAGAATTTGCTTTCCCAAGATCTGGCAGTTCAATAAATACACTCCCCAGCCCCCACTTCAACGTCTCTCCTATATCCTTCTGACCTTTAATACTGTGTAACATTAGATGAAAACTGATTTTTTTTGGCTACTTATTTTGCAGCTGAAGAAAAAATATACTGTTTAAGGTGTTAAATATTTTTACATGCAACAAACCTGGCATGAATCTAACCTGTATGAACATTTTAGAGGTACAGGCGTAAATGTCAGTGCTATAATTTGTTATAGGTTTCTGATGAGCAGCAAAGAAAATGACCACGGATTCTCACAATTCAAACCACTTTTACGTAAATGTGAACTTTCCTAAAACAGCCAGGGGAGAGAACTTTCCAGCCAACCTCATACAGTTTCTTAGAGATACTGATAGCATTATTCACTGGGTTAGGTGTTCTTTGAGAAAATTCTACAAATATTAGTTTCTTTCTGGAATTATGCTTTGACCTTTAATAAAAATGTTTCAAGACACCAGTTATTAAAATGAAAGGAACAGTTTTTAATGCCTGAACAACTGCCATTTCATATAATCAGTCCTGCTGAAGCTATACCTTACAAGTCAGCAGTGTTTAAAAAGAAAAAAAAAATTGATGACTTCACTTAAATTGCTCACTTACCAGACATGAAGCAGAGTTATAAGAAACCACGAATTGAATGTATCTGGCATCTGACACCCTAGAAAATAACAATAAAATATAAATATGTGAGTATTGGAGTAGGACTATTGAAGGAATATAAAGATATTTCATCAGTGGAAGAATAACATGGTAAACACTGTGAGTTCAGAAAGCACTGAATGCAGTCAATTGACCAGTCTTCCAGTTCTAGTCCTGTAACCAATTTGCTTTGTGGTCTCCAAGAAATCACTTCACCTCTCTGAGTCTTAGCTTTCTTACTTTGTTTAATGTAGCCTGGATGATCTCCATGGTTTATTACAACTTTTACGTGATTCTATGTTATTTTCCCTTTCTGGTCTCAAATTCTTCTATAACACTAGGTAAACACCACCTTCTCTACCCCACATAAGTGTAAGATTTTTTTATCTGAACCTCATTAGAACCCCTTCTGGTCTCCTCTTCCTGTATTCTTTCTTTCTTTCTTTTTTTTTTTAAAGATTTATTTATTTATTTATACAAGCACTGGGTACAGTCAGAAGTGCGGGAGGGCGAGAGAATTCACCAGAGCCAGAGCAGGGAGCAGAGCAGGCAGAAGGACCGAAGTACACCGCTGAGGGGAGCAGCGGGCGGCAGGAGAGGTCTGCGCGCCATGCGGGACCCTCGCCGGTGGCCGGGGATGGAACCGGCGCTGCAGAGGCTGCCCCGGCAGCTTCGCAGCCCAGCGCTCGATATCTGCGCCACCAGGGGAGGCCCCCTGTATTCTTTCTTTAAAATGACCCAATATGCTATGAATATGGATGTGCTGAATAATTCACCCAAAATAAATGATCAGGAAAAAAGAAGTGGGGCTCTAGGGAGCTGTAGCTAAATAAAGCAGACTATATCTAACAAAAGACCATTCATCACCCCTAGAAATGACAAAACTGGGTAGGGCATCTCCTCATTCGAAGATACCCAAAATTAGGTCAGTGCTTAGACATATGTCCAAGCCTCGTAATTCTCATATCTCTAAGAAATGCCTCTTGCTGGATAAGAGGCATTGAAAGTACCCTCCTAATTATATGACAGGGAGAAAAGCTGGTGTAAGAGAATAAAGAAAAAGAGAATCAGTGAGAAATTTGGGCCCTTAGGTTATAATCTGTAACTTTGGAACAATGACTCAAGAAAGAAGTAGTCACTTATGTCTTTCAGCAATCAATGAAGTACCCAATATTCTAAATGATAACAAACAGAGGCCACTAGGAGAGAAAACACAGGGCAGGACCCCCACAAAGTATGCTAGAGAGACCAATAATAATAAGGTGCTGTAATTTATTGTGGGCTTGCAAAGTGCCAGACATGATAACAGGTGCTTTACATGCATTAATTAGTTCAATGAATCCTCCCAACAATCCTATGAGGTGGGTATTGATTTATCACCATTTGAGATATGAAAACTATCTCTTAGGTCAAGATAATTGCCCAAGGTCACACAGGTATGAAAAGAGATACCTAGAATCAGATCTGATTGATTTCAGACTCTGTGTTCTTAATCATTACTCTCATTGCCCCTCTAATATTAATATTAGATACCAACATTCATTAAGGGTCCATACTTCATGGCAGGTCTACTGCTAGACATGTCAATTCCTTATCTTGCTTAATCCTCACTTTAACCCTGAAGGGAACTTTTATAATCTACATTTTAGAGATTAGGAGATGTGCTCAAAAAGACTAAGTTGCTTGTAGGTAGTCACAATATTAACAAGCTAGTGGCAGGGCTGGGGTTGAAGTCCAGGTCTATCAAAAAGTGACACCAAAATACTCTGGTGAGCTTACTGGGAGGTACCCAGGAGCTGTCAAGTGGACTTCCTCTTGGAGCCCAGCAGGAGGGAGGTGAAAGCTGGCCTGGCTAGCCATGCAGCTATTAAGACACATGCCATCTGAGAATGGGCCAACCACCCTCCACCTAGAATAAGAATAGCCATGAGAAACTCTCAAGCCCGGATCTGAAGTTGGGTCTTTTTTGGATGCTAGAACAAAACATTAAAAAGTAAAGTTTTCTTGGAAGTCTGTCTTTCAATCTGGAAAATGAAATTTGGCTGCTTCTAAAGGACAATCTGTTCAATTGCTACCTCTACATCAAAGCTTCTCAGCAGCCTCCAGGAGACTTTCCAATTTTCTCAGAGAGGGAATCAGTTCTTGGGCTGGAAAGCATAGACAGGCAGTCCAGCAGCTGGACCTGGGTCACAATTTTCCCTTCTGGGGGTCGGATGAGGGCTGAGGATGGGTAAAGAACTGGTATATGACCTATTCCCCGTATCCACTAGGGTAAGAAGGAAAACCCACAGGACAAACCCCTAAAAAAAAAGATCACTGAATGTTTGACAGTAACTAAAACAAAAGCACAGCAGAATTTGTTAGCTCAATGAAATGTGTTTAAACACTTCAAAGTTTCAAAACCTGGTATGGTCTTTGCCATGATCACACCCTTGCTCCAATATATACTGAGTGCTTTATTTTCTTTTCTTTTTTTTTTTTTAAAGATTTATTTATTTATTTATACAACCACTGGGTACAGTCAGAAGCGCGGGAGAGTGAGAGAATTCACCAGAGCGGGGAACAGAACAGGCAGACCTACGAAATACACTGCTGAGGGGAGCAGTGGGTGCAGCAGGAGAGGTTTGCGCGCCATGTGGGACCCTCACCCGGGGATCGAACTGGTGCTGCAGAGGCTGCAGGCAGCTTCGCAGCCCAGAGCTCAACTGCTGTGCCACCGGGGAGGCCCCTGAGTGCTTTATTTTCTGAAACTAAATACTTTTTTCCCTGACACCAAGTTGGATAAAATTAAACAATTCATTACTGTGAATGGGGAGACAGTGTTGACATAGTTGTCCATTTAATGCAGGCTCTAGGGTCAGACAACCTGATTCAAAACTTTGACTCTACTTCTCACTCTTTATGTATCTTAAAATTACTTAGTCTCTAGGTGTCTCAGTTTTTATCTCTACAAAATGGGAGAATAGGGGCCTCCCTGGTAGCACAAGGGGTTAAGTCTCAGAAATATGAAGCTATCCACTGCCACTGAAGCACAAGTTCAATCCCCAGCCAGGGAGCTGATCCACATAGTGCAGCAGACCTCTCCTGTCTCGCCTGCGGCTCCCCTCAGCAGTGTATTTCAGTCAATTTGCCTATTCTGCTCCCCACTATGCTTCTGGTGAATCCTCTCACCAATACCCCCCTCTCCCACACTCTGGCCTCTTGTATGCATGAATGAAATAAATCTTTAAAAAAAAATTTTATAAATAAAAATGGGAAACAGAGAACCTAACACAGGGTTTTTTGAGGGCTAAACAAGATAAGACCTATAAAAACATCTAGCAAAATGTTTAGTATTGCATAGGTACTCATAAATATTCACTTTTATTGTTTTATCTTTCAGTAAATTATTTAAACATTAGAGTTTAAATTATCTTTGAAAAACTCACTAATTATTTAAGACTTTCAATAAAATGATAAACCTCAGTCACTGATCAACATTGTGAGTAAACAACTCATTCTGATACTCATTCTTATACAATCCTCATGAAATACCACCAGTCTCACTTTTGATGAGGGAGGATGACACTGGCCAGTTACCTGAGGACCTCAATCCTTATCTGTCTGGCCTACTCTATAGAATCTAAGATCTAAGGAAGTCCATGTCCTTATTTTACAGATATTCTTTCTCTACCTCCAAATAGCACTTTTCAGATTAGCTCAATTTTTATCAACTAGGCACAATTTGAAACCACTTTAGTTTAATCTACTCACAAATGACAAAGACAAACCATAATGAAGCATAGTCAAATGAAGATTACAGGTCTAACAGGCAATCCTCAAATTGAGTCTTAGAAAACTTAAAGTAAAAGTGGTATCGTTGAAAATTTTACTACCTCCCTAGGAAACTATTTTCAAAGAGCAAAGTTATAACAAAGCTCACTGAGATGCACATGCTCTAATATGAATAAACATCAGTTTATAATACTCACAGACCAGCTTGCACAGAAAGAGTTCTCATTTAAATAGAAAATAAACGAAAATATTAAGATGCAGTTACATTCATCCGCAGGCAATATGTTACACGGGGGAAATTCCTGGGTTTTAAGGCAGATGACATAGGCTCAAGACTTATCTAAGAAACTTTGGTAAGTTATTGAGCCTCTTTTTAAGTTTCAACTGTTTTTGAAAACAAAACAAAAATGAAAATATGAATACAAGTTGTTCTTATCCATTAAAATTTTATAACTCCTAAATGAAACAAATGTAAAGTCATATATGTAAATGTGAACTATTAGTATATACTATTTTTTTTAAAGATTTATTTATTTATTTTATACAAGAACATGGGTACAGGCCAGATGCGTGGGAGGGTGAGAGGACTCACCAGAGACAGAGTGGGGAACAGAACAGGCAGACTGACTGAAATACACTGCTGAGGGGAGCAGCGGGTGAGGCAGGAGAGGTCTGCTGCGCCATGTGGGACCCTCGCCGGTCGGCAGGGATCGAACCTGCGCTGCAGAGGCTACGGACAGCTTCACAGCATGGTGTTCAATTGCCTGCACCACCAGGGGAGGCCCTAGTATATACCGTTAATAATTTTATAAACTTTCATTTTATATGTAGCTTACACCAGCTTATAAGTTGAAACATGATATATTAACCTAAGTACATCATAATCATCTCATTATTCAATACTGTATTTTTTTTTAATTTTTTTTTCAATAGAGGCATGTTTTATTTATTTATTTATTTGTTTGTTTGTTTGTTTATACATGCACTGGGTACAGTCAGAAGTGCGGGAGGGTGAGAGAATTCACCAGAGCCAGAGCGGGGAGCAGAGCAGGCAGAAGGACCGAAGTACACTGCTGAGGGGAGCAGCGGGCGGCAGGAGAGGTCTGCGCGCCATGTGGGACCCTCCTCCGGTGGCTGGGGAGCAGTCGGGGATCGAACCGGCGCCGCAGAGGCCGCGGGCAGCTTCGCAACCCAGCGCTCAACTGCTGCACCACCAGGGAAGCCCCTTCAATACTATAATATTAACTCAAGAACCTTCAATAATAAGGACTGGCTAGGACAAAGATAGCTAGTAAAATATCCTTTGGAAATAATTATAATAAATTTATGAGCTATTTATTAAATCAAATAAAAAAATGTTAAGGATAAGGTTTCAAAAAGATTTGATGAAAAATACTTAAGCACATGGAATTAAGAAACCACTTAAGAAAAATCCAGCTTTGAATGTAGTTTCTTCATCACATAAAGAAAGAATATTTCCGGGCCTCCCCGGTGGCGCAGCGGTTGAGCGCTGGGTTGCGAAGCTGCCCGCAGCCTCTGCAGCGCCGGTTCAATCCCCGGCTGCTCCCCGGCCACCGGAGGAGGGTCCCACATGGCGCGCAGACCTCTCCTGCCGCCCGCTGCTCCCCTCAGCAGTGTACTTCGGTCCTTCTGCCTGCTCTGCTCCCCGCTCTGGCTCTGGTGGATTCTCTCACCCTCCCGCGCTTCTGACTGTACCCAGTGCATGTATAAACAAAAAAACAAACAAATAAATAAATAAATAAACATGCCTCTATAAAAAAAAAAAGAAAGAATATTTCCTCCTTCTAATATCTAAATATCTTCTAATGCTTCTAATTCCTCAAATTAGAAGTCGGCAAAAATTAAAAAGAAGCAGACACTTTCTTTCTTGGTAATGAATAAATCAGAAGTGGAAGGCAGATATTAAATTAGGACTGCCACTCAGTATAATATTTTACATTTCTAATATCAATCTGCTGAAATAGTAAAATGAAACAATTTACATTTGGTTTTTTGACATAGTTATTAAATAATATGAAACTGCATCTAGTTTTCCTCATTGTTGTTAACATAATTACACGTAATTGTCTGTGAAAAATATCAAGTATATACAATCAAGTGCCGTTGGATAATAGCTGTTGCCATAAAATGACACAGCACACATTTCCTTCCAAAATATGTAGAACTGGAAATGACTTAAACCTTAATTTAATTAACTTTTTTTATAACAGCATCAAAACAAATACTGTATTGGCACAACCACCATTCTAGTGGTAGTGTCAACCTGTAGCCTTTCTTTTGGAAAGCAATTTATCAGTAGGGAATAAATGATAAGATTATATGTGCTTTTTGAATCAATAGCCCTTCAACATAAAGAAGAAAAATCATGAAGCATATTCCAGAATTAACAAAAATAATTAAAAACTAGAAACAAAAAGAGGAATGACAGGCAAAAACATTCCCGTCAAACTGCTAAGTAAAACAGACAGAATATAAAACAGGGTATTTTTACTGAGTACTCTCATGTAAAACGATACATACTTGGACAAGAGGGATGATAATGAAAAAGTACTAGACAAATTCTTAGTTCATTTTCAAACCTGTTAAAATGTCTCCTATACAGCAAAAACTGTCTCACTATTGTACTAAGACAATCATAAAAATGCAAAGTAGATTCATTTTCCTTTTCCAGAACTATCAAAAACAGTCACTTACTCAGAAAGAATTCCTCGAAGTCAGTTTTCTCCACACAGCTAGTATACATGCGCAGGGCTGCAATCTTAATCTTCTAGACAAAGAGAATAAAACCACACTCAAGACAAGACCAAGTGTATGTTCTAAAGTCATTAGATGTAGGTCACAGACTCTTGTATTTCTTCAACTAGAAGTAAGGATCCAAATCATTCTCTAGGCAAATTCAATAACTAAACCAACATAGATATTTCTTTCTTTTTTAAAACTAGACATTCATATAGACCTCATGCAATTTTCACATTTTAGGATTTTATCATGAAATTTCAGAGATTTCTCCAATATTTAAATAAAATCTCTCCTTTAATTTGCATCCATTTTGTGACATCTGAGCCTTGATACCCAGCTCATCACCATCTACATTAACCCTTTATAATTTGAAACTCTTTGTATTAAATAATTATCAACTCCTTTGACCAAAATCAGAACAAACAAGAAAAAAATTCAATACTTTGAACTTTCCTCAGAGGCACTACTATTTTGTAAGAGGTCATTTTTCAAGAGGTCATTCTTTTCTGTATTTTCCCTGATTTTATATTTTGCTAATTAACAGAAGGCTGTGTTTGTAAAAAGGATTTTTTTTTTTTTTTTTTTTTTTTTAAATATTTTTGATGCCTTTGTTTCTTTTTTTTTTAAGAAAGATTTCTTTTTTTTTTTTTTTTAAAGATTTATTTATACAAGCACTGGGTACAGTCAGAGGCGCGGGAGGGTGAGAGAATTCACCAGAGCCAGAGCGGGGAGCAGAGCAGGCAGAGGGACCGAGGTACACTGCTGGGGGGGGCAGCGGGCGGCAGGAGAGGTCTGCGCACCATGTGGGACCCTCCTCCGGTGGCCAGGGAGCAGCCGGGGATCGAACCGGCGCTGCAGAGGCTGCGGGGAGCTTGGCAACCCAGCGCTCAACCGCTGCGCCACTGGGGAGGCCCTGTAAAAAGGATTTCTAATGAATGTAAAATATTATAGAAGCATCAAACTTATTTTATGGAGCACTAAGAGTTCTCTTAATTTATTCACTTGGCTATATTAAGATTTGTATATATTCCTATATATACATTATGTCTTAATAAAAATAAACTTAAAAAAAAAATATAAGCCCCTCCCTGGACTATTTCGACTGGCCTGGGAGTCCCACTTTATTTCTGTTCCTTTTCTCCTTCATAAATTTTCTTTCTCGGGCCTCCCCGGTGGCGCAGCAGTTGAGCGCTGGGTTTCGAAGCTGCCCACAGCCTCTGCAGCACCGGTTTGACCCCTGGCTGCTGGCGAGAGTCCCACATGGCACACAGACCTCTCCTGCCATGCCTGCTGCTCCCCTTAGCAGTATACTTCGCCAGTCAGCCTGTTCTGTTCCCTGCTCTGGCTCTGGTGAATTCTCTCACCCTCTAGCACTTCTGATTGTACCCAGTGCTTGTATAAATAAATAAATAAATTTTTCTTTCTCTTAAAACAAAAAAAAAGTTCCTTCAGAAGTTGAATTGTAGGTCTGAAGAAAACTCAGTGCTAAGGGAAAAGTATCTCTAAGGGCTTTCAATTTATTTTCTCTTAAGGACACAATGGAAAAATTAAAACCACAAAAGACTTTTTAGAAGCTTATTTTTTCTTGGGGCCTCCCCGGTGGCACAACAGGTTGAGCGCAGCGCTGTGAAGTTGTCTGCATCCTTTGTAGTGTCGGTTCGATTCCTGGCCAGTCAGGGAGATTCCCACATGGTGTGGCAGACCTCTCCTATCACGACCGCTGCTCCCCTCAGCAGTGTATATCGGTCGTCTGCCTGTTCTGCTCCCTACTCTGTCTCCAGTGAATCCTCTCAACCTCCTGCACCCCTGGCCTGTACCCCAGCTCTTGTATAAAAATAAATAAATCTTTTAAAAAAAAAGCTTACTTTTTCTTAAAATGACAGATTCAAATATGAACAGCATAAAAGAATACAAACTCAAACACGCAAAGCCTACCAAAAAAATACAAACTGAGAATGACAGAGCAATTAAAGAAAAAAAAAATCAATGCAGAATTTTAGTTGAGCTATGTTATTAAGGTGCAAAAGTCATAAAGGACATATAGTGCATCTAATACTACATAATGTTCATATTTCTCTATACCCACTAGAGTCAAAATAACAGTGTCTCTGATGAGCAGGAATAACCATAATAAATTAAGGAAGGGGCCTCCCCTGGTGGCGCAGGGGTTGAGCGCTGGGCTACGAGGCTGCCTGCAGCCTCTGCAGCGCCAGTTTGTTCCCTGGCCACCGGCAAAAAAATTAATTAATTAATTAATTAAGGAAGGACTAATATCTCTGATTATAATTAAGAAATTTTGTCTGCTAGTTTAAAGCATGTTATGTGTCAAGGCTTTTAGTTTAACACTTACATAGGGGAGGAGGGAAGGTAAGGGGTGGGAACAGAACAGAACCTATAACAAATAGAAATAAGATACTTCTATATAGGAAGTACATTAGTTTAGAAGCCCACATTTAAACAAAACCCATGCATAGCCACTGAAAAGAAGAAAAATTTAAAACCTAAAAGGCAAAAAGAAGGAAAATAAAAGAAAGAACAGATACAAATTATCAAGTATAGAGAAAGGGATCTAACTATGTAGCCTAAAAATATTATAGGATAATTAAGGGAATATTATGAATAAGGTTAGGCCAATAAATGTGATTGCTTAGAATAAACAAACATTAAGTTGGATTTGGGGTTAAAAACTTTCCCACACAAAAACCCCCACAAACCCATCAGGTTCAATAGTAGTGACACACACATCTAAAGAAATTATACCAGGCCTCCCTGGTGGCACAAGGGGTTAAGCACTGCACTCTGAAGCAATCTGCAGCCTCTGCAGCACAAGTTCGATCCCCGGCCAGCCAGGGAGCCACCCACATGGTGCAGCAGACCTCTCCTGACTTGCCCGCTGCTCCCCTCAGCAGTGCACTTCGGTCAATCTGCCTTTTCTTTTTTTTCTTTTTTTTTTTTTTTTTTTTTTTTTATTTTTTTTTTTTTTTTTAAATCTTTTTTTTTTTTTTTTTTTTTTATAGAGGCATGTTTATTTATTTATTTATTTTGTTTGTTTGTTTGGTTTATACATGCACTGGGTACAGTCAGAAGCGCGGGAGGGTGAGAGAATTCACCAGAGCCAGAGCGGGGAGCAGAGCAGGCAGAAGGACCGAAGCACACTGCTGAGGGGAGCAGCGGGCGGCAGGAGAGGTCTGCGCGCCATGTGGGATTCTCCGCCGGTGGCCGGGGAGCAGCCGGGGATCGAACCGGCGCCGCAGAGGCCGCGGGCAGCTTCGCAACCCAGCGCTCAACTGCTGCGCCACCGGGGAGGCCCCAATCTGCCTTTTCTGTTCCCCACTCTGTCTCTGGTGAATCCTCTCTCACCCCCCATAGCTCTGGCCCGTACCCCAGCTCTTATGTGCATAAATAAGTTAATCTTTTAAAAAAATATAGAATTGATACCAAATTACATAAGTTCTTCCAGAACTCACAAGGAAAAACACTTCTAGATCATTCTATGACATCATATCACCCTGGTAGTAAAACCAGTCATTTGAAGAAAATAAAAAGTATAAAACCATAACCTTCATTAACATAGACACAAAAAACCTTAACAAAAGAAACCAAATATACCAATGTTTGAAAAGGATAATATATCATGATCAAGAGATATTTATCCCAGGAATGGAAAATTGATTTAACAGTGACAAATCAATTAGTGTATCAGCAGGTTAAAAAAGCCCACCTTGATCTTTTTCAACTCTGCGTTTTCTTTCAGATCCTTATTTACAGAGTCTTCTAGGTCTGTAATTAACCACCCCACCTGAGAAAGGGCAGACCTGCCTACAAAATCCAAATCTTTCCTTAAGAGGTCTCCTCCAGAATACGTTCATGAAGAAAATATTCATTATAAATAATAAAAACCTCACCAGATTGGCCAGTGTATTTATACACTGCTCACATTGTGGCAATCAGGAGCATTTTATAGTTCCTCACTTTTCCTGCAGCAAAGCCAAACCTTTATACTTGGGTGAGCCATTTTCCTGGACAAATCTCTAAAGCAAGTCCCTTAAGACCATCATACAGGGGTTGGAAATAATAACTTGGGGAAAGAAATTCTTAAGATGTAAGTGTTAATATAAGTTAAGGAGGTAGATGGGACTAAATTTCTACCCAGCCAATACAAATTGTTCTGGTCCTCAGATGACTGTGTATTTATTTCATCATAACTTTAGAAGACTTCATCGTACCACCTTGAATAAAACAGAAACACCCAAGACAACTTTGGGAAATGAAAATCAGCTCTCCCACCATTCCTACAAAATGAAAAAAAAACCCAACAAAACAAAACAAGCACAAGGCTTACATTAACAGCTGTGTGAGTGTTGGAAGGGGCTTTGAAGCAATTTGAACCTTCTATTCTGTACCGGAATTCCTTCTACAACATTCTTGATTCACAGTCAACCATCTGGGCTCCTGTTCAAACAAGTCCAATGACCCTGTGAGGCTACCTATCTAGGGGAGGATAATCCTTGTTAGTTTTTTTTTTTAATTGAATTCAAATCTGCTTCATGTAACATTCATTAAATATCACCTGCTCACAGTATACCTCAGGTTAAGTCTCTTCAAATTTTTTACATTTGCCCCTCAAGAACAACTACCATGTTGTCTCTTTCCCAAGCTAACCAGCTCTATTTCCTTCAATCATTCTTTTTTTTTTAAGATTTATTTTATTTATTTACACATACAGGAACTGGGGTATAGGCCAGAGGTGCAGGGGTAGGGGGATGAGGATTCACCAGAGACAGAGTGGGGAGCAGAACAGGCAGATCACAGAAATACACTGCAGAGGGGAGCAGGAGATGAGACAAGACAGGTCTGCTGTGCCATGTGGGTCAGCTCCCTAGTCAGGTATGGGACATGCTGCAGTGGCTGCTGATAGCTTAATAGTGCTGAGATTTAACCCCTTACACCACCAGGAGGCCCATCCTTCAATCATTCTTAATTCAACATGGTTCTGAAGCCTTCATGAAGCTTGTTGCCTACATCTGAATACATTCCAGTTTGCCAGTGTCTTTCAGAACTGTAACAATTTTTTTGGCTTACTACTAATCTAGAAAGTGCCCAGGTGGCTGAATCCAGTAAATATTGTCCTATCTTAACTGATATAGCTACATAAAGATAACAAAAAAGAATTATTATTTCAGGATAGTCAAACAGGTAAAGAAAAGCTCCATTTAAATTGCTAAATAGGAATATAAAAGAAAAATGGAACTATACTAGAAATTGTGGCAGAAAAAGATGGAGGAAAGATGGCTGATCTTGCTGATGTGGACAAACAGGCATTTTACTCCCTAATCAAAGATATGTAAAAACACAAAACTCAAAGAATCTTGCCATGCAATTTAATACAAGGGTCTAGTCATAAGATTTCTGAGTCAACATTTGCTGAAAAAGGGCTCATGTTCTTTAAAATGGAAAATTACACTGTATTTCCCCACCTAAATTATACTAGAATATCATACTTTGATGTTTTGATGTCACAAATTCTAAAATGAAGGTTATAGAAAGTAGACACTACCACATCACAGAAGATTTTTAAAAAGCAAATACTAGGGACTTAGTTGAGATCACAAGGGAACCAGGAAAAATTAGAGGCTAACTTAAGCTAAAACAGTGGAGAAACTTTCCTGGTGACTTAGCAATCCTCCAAATGGTAGCCAACTTTCCTTCCTGAATCATAACAAAGCAGATTAGACAAAGCAAATGGTAGCAAAAGTGGAACCCATTGTGAAGAAAAAAAAAATTTTCTTTTCCTTCTTTCTGCTCTTTTTTTAAATTTTTAAATCTTTTTCTTTTAATTAATTTCTAATTTTCAAACAAAGCACATATTTTAAGTTTTAAATCCAAATGCCATAATCGGAACTTTTTTTTTTTTTTTTTTAAATAAGTACCTTATTCTTTTTTTTTTTTTTTTTAAGATTTATTTTATTTATTTATACAAGCACTGGGTAATGTCAGAAGCACGGGAGGGTGAGAGAATTCACCAGAGCCAGAGCGGGGAGCAGAGCAGGCAGGGCAGGAGAGGTCTGCGCGCCATGTGGGACCCTCCTCCGGTGGCCGGGGAGCAGCCGGGATCGAACCGGCGCTGCAGAGGCAGTGGGCAGCTTCGCAACCCAGCGCTCAACCGCTGCGCCACCGGGGAGGAATCGGAACTTTTTTTAATAGCAGAAAAGATTCTAGTTAATAACATTACCAAATACCAATGATTATCAATTGTCAAAGAATTAAGATATAAAGATTACTTTGCATATAAATGCTGAATCACTTGTACATAAGAAACTAGTATAAAAATATATGCCAATTGCTCTTCAATTGAAAAAAAGTCAAAAAACCATCGAATCTAAAACTGGTGGAGAAGCAAACGTTAAATATTGCAGCATGGGCCTCTCCGGTGGCGAAGCGGTTGAGCGCTGGGTTGCCAAGCTGCACGCAGCCGCTGCAGCGCCGGTTCAATCCCCGGCCACTTGGAGAGGGTCCCATATGGTGCGCAGACCTCTCCTGCCGTGTCCGCTGCTCCCCTCAGCAGTGCACTTCGTCATTCTGCCTGCTCTGTTCCCTGCTCTGGCTCTGGTGAATTCTCTCACCCTCCCGTGCTTCTTACTGTGCCCAGTGCTTGTATAAATAAATAAAATAAATCTTTTTAAAAAATAAATAAATAAATAAATAAATATTGCAGCAGAAAAATTCTGGCTTAAAATATAAATAAAGGGTCTCCCTAGTGGTGCAGTGGGTTGAGCACCACGCTATGAAGCTGTCCTCAGTATCTGCAGTGTGGGTTTGATTCCTGGCCTGCCAGGGAGAAACCCACATGGTGCGGCAGACCTCTCCTATTTCTCCTATTTCGCCCGCTGCTCCCCTCAGCATTGTCTTTGGTCCATCTGCCTGTTCTTTTTTTTTTTTTTTTTTTTTTTAATTTTTTTTTTTTATAGAGGCATGTTTTATATTTATTTGTTTGTTTGTTTGTTTGTTTTGTTTATACATGCACTGGGTACAGTCAGAAGCACAGGAGGATGAGAGAATTCACCAGAGCCAGAGCAGGGAGCAGAGCAGGCAGAAGGACCGAAGTACACTGCTGAGGGGAGCAGCAGGCGGCAGGAGAGGTCTGCGCGCCATGTGGGACCCTCCTCTGGTGGCCGGGGAGCAGTCGGGGATCGAACCAGCACCTTGGAGGCCGTGGGCAGCTTCGCAACCCAGCACTCAACCGCTGCGCCACCAGGGAGGCCCCGTCTGCCTGTTCTGTTCCCTGCTCTGTCTCTGGTGAATTCTCTCACCCTCCTGTGCCTCTGACTGTACCCCAGTTCTTGTATAAATAAATAAATCTAAAAAATGTATGAAATAAAATAAAACATAAATAAATCTTAAAAGTACAAAAATCTTGGGCCTCCCCAGTGGTGCAGCGGTTGAGCGCTGGGTTGCGAAGCTGCCCGCAGCCTCTGCAGCGCTGGTTCGATCCCCGGCTGCTCCCCGGCCACCGGAGGAGGGTCCCACATAGCGTGCAGACCTCTCCTGCCGCCCGCTGCTCCCCTTAGCAGTGTGCTTTGGTCCTTCTGCCTGCTCTGCTCCCCGCTCTGGCTCTAGTGAATTCTCTCACCCTCCCACGCTTTTGACTGTACCCAGTGCTTGTATAAATAAAAAAAAAAAAAAAGTACAAAAATCTTTGCTATTATTCTTATTTGAGAAGAGATTAACTTATAAAGAAGAGCAGACATTTGCAAGGAATTTAAAAAAAGGTATATTATCTTCCCACCAAAAAAAATGTGAAAAAAAAAAACTTAAAGGAGCATAATATTTCTTTGATAATTAAGAAGGAACTGCATAACCTTAGGATCTTAAGAACACTATTATTATCTACTATGTGTATTACCTTCAGTACTTTTCAAAGCCAATTATAAACAAAATGCTTGTGGAATCATTGTTCACTTTTCAGAATTTAAGTAAAAAAGCAATTATAAACAGAAGTCTATATTTGCTGCAATGAAAACTGTTAGGAAGAGATAAATATTTTAAGAAGAAATTAGAAGACCACAAAAATTGAAATTTGAATCTTATTTGTTAAAATGGTCTAAAAGGCATTATGTGGTCATTTGGGACAAAGCTATAATGTCTTCTAGACAGTTTTCCCTACTGCTATGTATTGGCTTGCTTTGATTAACATATAACTTATGACTGATTAGGCTCACCCAACATTCTAACAACCTTGAAAAGCATTAAAAGGCACTTCTGTTAAAAGTCATTGCTATAAAAGTCCAAAGGCAATATGCACTTAATTTAAAACAGTACATCTTATTCATTTATAGCTAACAAATAACCCTCCATAATAAGAATGACAACAAATGACAAGGTTAACTAGCTAATTTAAAAATGCTTATAAGTAAAAAAAAATTTTTTAAAGATTTTATTTATTTACTTATATAAGAACCGGGGTACTGGCCAGATGCGCGGGAGGGTGAGAGGATTTACCAGAGATGGAGAGGGGAAAGAACAGGCAGACTGACGAAATACATTGCTGAGGGGAGCAGCAAGCGCAACAGGAAAGGTCTGCCACGCCATGTGGGACCCTTGCCAGGGGGATGGGATGGAACCATCACTGCAGATGCTGCGGACAGCTTCACAGCGCTGCGCTCAACCGCGTGCGCCACCAGGGGAAGCCCAGTAAATTTTTTTTAAAGTCACTACAATGACCTAGAGAAAAACCTTCATGAATATGAATCATCAGAAATACCATTTCCTTAAGAACACTGCCCCATCAAAACATTTGGTTATTCTAATTCTTTAGAATTCATTGGTAAGGCATATCATGTAACAAGGGCTTGGAAAGTTCAATCTTACTGGTTTACCTGCTACTGAGATACTTCTAAGGAATCAGGTTGAGGGAGTAGAGGGAGTATTTCAGCTCCACGTGCTATATGTAGATCAGATTTAGAATGGGCACAGGAGGAACGACAACACATTTTGAAATTCTCAAAATAACATATAAACTTCACAAAAGCATAGTAGAAGTTTTTAAAACTCTCCTATGAAAAGTGGAAAGCCCCAAAAGAAAAATGAAAAGAACTTAAAAGAACTTACCCATTTACTGTATTTCAAAGGTCCCGTGAACCCCATGGCTTCTATTATCTTTGTGAAGGCACCAACCTTCTCCTCAGCAGGCCGTGGGGAATCCTTGGTAGTAGAAAGCTATTTAATCATAAAGGGAACGAAATTAGTTGTAAAAACTTTTTCAAAAAAGAATACCACTTGTTTCTCATTAGGTCTAAGGATATCTTTATTGCTTAGATTTTTTTTTTCCCACCAAGAATTTCTAATTTTCATTTTTCTAGGCATCTTATCACTAAGGGCAAACACATCTGGAATTCTAACAGATGTCTTCCAATTTCAGAGCAAGATATACCTTGCTGACCAAATGCCTCTGAACCCGTATCTAGTAAATGATTGATCTGGGATATCAAAGTAAAAATTCTATGGAAAAGACTACTTTCACTTATTTTTTAAAGATTTATTTTTATTTATTTATGCATACAAGAACCGGGGTGTAGGCCAGTGATGGTGGGGGGATAGGGGTGAGAGGATTCACCAGAGACAGAGTGGGGGAGCAGAATAGGCAGATCTACTGAAACACACTGCCAAGAGAAGCAGCAGGCAAGACAGGAGAGGTCTGCTGTGCCATGTAGGTTAGCTCCCTGGCGGGATTGAACTCACGCTGCAGTGGCTGGCAATAACTTGATAGTGCTGAGACTTGACCCCTTGTGCTTCCAGGAAGGCCCGGAAAAGAGTACTTTTAAAAGGAAGTCTTGACATCCCCCACCCACCACCTTTCAAAGAACAATTTTAAGAAGAACATTTTATCTTTATTGACATAATCGGAAAAAGAAACAAAAATACTGCTTATAAGTAGTCAAGTCATTCAAAATCATAATCAATCAAAGTTAGCACAGAATAAACGCTTTTAAACTCTTGCATTTTTTTTGTATAAGAAATTTTATTATGACTATAGAAGATAAGAGTTTTGTAGATTACAAATAAGCTCCAAGAAAAATCTATTCTAAAGCTAAGTTTCTTCAATTGGAGGGAGGCAGTGTAACCTATAAGAAATTCTCCAAACGTTAAACATTATTTTAACATCTAAAAAAATATATATATGAAGACATTTTCCTCTATAGTAAATAGGCTAGAGTAAGTAACTACATGAGGACAGATCTCTAAAATGTACAGTTAAGTGTCTCCAGTGACAAAGTGCCCTGAACAAAAATGTATGCAGAAAATATGTGTTAAATTAATAAACACGAATGAATGAAGGGAGAAAAAAAGACTTTTTCCCTTACATGTTTTCTAGGCAAGACAGTACAAGGGATGAAATATAGGACATGAGATCAGAAACCTCAGGGTCAAATATTTAGTTAGTTGTCACTTACTATCCTTGTAGTGCTGCGCAAGTCACTTCTCTGCTCTGACCCTTACCTTCTGCATTTGGTAAAATTCTTTGCCTCAACCAGCTAACAATTTTGCTGAGATTCAATTAAGAACACCTGTGTCTATAAACACAGAAAGCATTAATAATTCTCACCTTATTTGTGGTGTGATACTTCCTACTCAGCTGTATGTCTAGTCCGGGCACCTGTACTAGGGACTGGCTCATCTGGAGCCACTAGGGGATTTAAAAAAAAAAAAAATGAAATGAGAAATGTAAGTAACACTGAGCACTCACTTAGAGGTTAATCTGAGCTGAGCTACTTTAAAATAAAAACTAGAATCTGGGGGCCTCCCTGGTGGCGCAAAGGGTTGAGACACAGAACTATTAAGCTATCCGCAGCCACTGCAGCACTTTGAGCTCAATGCCCAGCCAGGGAGGTGACCCATATGGCACAGCAGACCTCTCCTATCGAGCCTGCTGCTCCCCTCAGCATTGTATTTCAGTAGATCCTCCTGGTCTGCTCCCCACTGTCTCTGGTGAATCCTCTTACCCCCTGCATCTCTGGCCTGCACCCCAGCTCTTGTATGCATAAATAAATCTTTAAAATAAAATAAAAACTATAGAATCTGAGCCTCCCTGATAGTGCAAGAGGTTAAAGTCTCAGCACTATCAAGCTATCACCAGCTACTGCAGCACGAGTTCGATCCCTGGCCAGGGAGGTGACCCACATGGTCAGCAGACCTCTCCTGTCTTGCCCACTGCTTGCCTCAGCAGTCTATTTCAGTCAATCTGTCTGTTCTGTTCCCCACTCTGTCTCTGGTGAATCCTCTCACCCCCACACCTCTGACCTACACACCAGCTCTTGTATGCATAAATAAGTAAAATAAATCTTTTTTAAAAAAACCTAACTAATAAAAGGAACTAAGTAAATCTGAATCTAGGAATTTGAATTGCAATAAATATCCACTTAAACACTGGCAGCAGTGCAGTATATGAAAAAACAAAAAAGACTTTCACATCAGTCAATTTTAAGTTTAAACTTCTTTTTTTGCTACTTAGAAAGCTGAGTAGCCATGGGCAACTTACTGACTTATGGTACATTACTGAACCTCGGTGTAGTGAAGATTAAAGGAGATAATATATGTAAAGTGCCTTTCACAAAATACTCAAAAAATAGTATACACTTCTATCATCATCAACATTATCATCGCTGTTGTTCAGATCAAAATTGCCTTCCTTTGGGCCTCCCCGGTGGCGCAGCGGTTGAGCGCTGGGTTGCGAAGCTGCCCGCAGCCTCTGCAGCGCTGGTTGCATCCCCGGCTGCTCCCCGGCCACCGGAGGAGGGTCCCACATGGCACGCAGACCTCTCCTGCCGCCCACTGCTCCCCTCAGCAGTGTACTTCGGTCCTTCTGCCTGCTCTGCTCCCCGCTCTGGCTCTGGTGAATTCTCTCACCCTCCGGCGCTTCTGACTGTACCCAGTGCTTGTATAAATAAATAAATAAATCTTTTTTAAAAAATAGTACGTTTAAAAACAAAACAAAACAAAACAAAATTGCCTTCCTTTTACGTTCAGACTGCATTTGAAAGCACTTTGGCAATGTATGATACAGCCATTATTTACAATTATGTGCCAAGAACTATAACTGCCCTACATACAATAACTTATTTAATCACCACAAATAAGGTTGGTATTATTATAATGTATTATTATAATTATTGTAATTAAGATCAATAGCATAGTTTCAATAAGCATAGTTTCAAAAATAAATTCCTAAGGAAAAAATACACATGACTCATTGTAGTATTATTCACAGAATAAAAATGGGAAGGTGGAGGAAAGCCCAGTAAGAGAAGATATACCTTAATTAAGGTATGTCAAGTAATTAATGAGGGGTTTAAATAATTAATTAATTAATGAGGGCTTTTTTTCCTTAACACACTTTATATTTTAAAGCAGTTTTAAGTTCACAGCAAAACAGCAAACAGAAAATACAGAAAGCTTCCATATACAGCCATCCCCACACATACAACACTCCCTACTAGCCACAGCCCCCACTAGAATAGTACATTTGTCACAACTGATGGACTGATTTACTTAGTACTTTCTATGAAAACATAGAAAGCAACATAGAAATGAGTTACTTTATTAAGTTAGCAGATTTGTGGATGAGTTTAAGTATTGATAGTTTCCAAACTCTCAATAATGCTATATTTCTTTCACAATAAAAAGGGTATAAATAGTAGGAAAGTTATCCCTTCAATTTTGTTTTAAAGAAATGTGATTTGGGCCTCCCCGGTGGCACAGCGGTTGAGCGCTGGGTTGCGAAGCTGCCCGCGGCCTCTGCGGCGCCAGTTCGATCCCCGGCTGCTTCCCGGCACCGGAGGAGGTCCCACATGGCGCGCAGACCTCTCCTGCCGCCCGCTGCTCCCCTCAGCAGTGTACTTCGGTCCTTCTGCCTGTTCTGCTCCCCGCTCTGGCTCTGGTGGATTCTCTCACCCTCCCGCGCTTCTGACTGTACCCAGTGCTTGTATAAACAAAACAAACAAATAAATAAATAAATAAAAGACTGTCACTTTAAAAAAAAAAAAAAAAAAGAAATGTGATTTTTTTTTTAATCCTAACGAAGGAAAAAACAAATTCTAATTGTGTAGAGTTACTATTTACTTTTTGTTCTAAACAAAAATATTAAGATTAGTCAGAATTCTTGTGGTTAGTTCCAAGGACACTTGTACTTGAATTCAGCAGGTATCTGGCAGGCTTTGTAAATCACAGACTAAACACAGAACACTGCCCATTGCATCACCTACATCAGTGTAATGGTCCATCCAGAACACAACCAAGAGCAGTTTCAAGAAGCTGTGCTTTGGGAAGAGTATTTTTCTACTAGATTACAGGGTCTTTCTCCTTCCTCATAGTTCCAGGAGTAACCAACAGATTCTTTATGTGACTGACTTACCACCTGCTGTATTTCTTTTTTTTATTATTTATTTATTTATACAAGCACTGGGTACAGTCAGAAGTGCGGGAGGGCGAGAGAATTCACCAGAGCCAGAGCGGGGAGCAGAACAGGAAGACTGACTAAGTACACTGCTGAGGGGAGCAGCGGGCAAGACAGGAGAGGTCTGCGCACCACTGGCAGCCGGGGATCGAGCCAGTGTTACAAAAGCTGTGGACAGCCTCACAGCCCAGCACTCAACAGCTGCAGCACCAGGGGAGGCCCCACCTGCTGTATTTCTGTCTACCATGGTTCATGAGTTAATACCATGTTGAACTACTGAAATACCTAGGTGTCTAGTACCAAGAAAAACTTAGTTTCCCCATATCTGTACATATCTATATAAATACACATATTTACCTACTTTTGCCCTTGCTCCCCCAAGGTTCCCTTGACCTTAAAGACATCAATTTTTCTTTTGCTCAAGTTGAAAAGATATCAATAAATAACTTCTTGTAAATGAAAATACCCTGAAACATGTTATTTTTTATTTTTATTTTTAAAGATTTATTTATTTATACAAGAACCAGGGTACAGGCCAGATGAACGGGAAGGTGAGAGGATTCACCAGAGACAGAGCAGGGAACAGAACAGGCAGAATGACTGAAATACACTGCTGAGGGGAGCAGCAGCCTAGACAGGAGAGCTCTGCTGCGCCATGTGGGATTCACCCAGCCGGCCGGGATCAAACCGGCACTACAGAGGCTGCAGACAGCTTCACAGCACTGCGCTCAACCACCTGTGCCACCAGGGGAGGCCATGTCATTTTTTAAAAGAGTACTTTTTTTATCATTTTATCTAAAATAGTTTCATATTATCCCATTACTTACTAACATAGCAACAACCTGGTAATTTCATTTGAAGTACTCATTACAAAGTATAACTACAATTATATCGTTACTTACATACTTGATTACCTTCTACTACCATTACCAGAAAGATCCATTAGGGTAGAAAGTAGATATATTATCAGAATCAAGTATAATGCGTTATAAATGGGAAACAGGCAAATATTTGTTAACTGGGCAAACCTGCCCACCTGTCCAGTTATTTCTCACTATTTGCTTATCATTCAAATACATGTCATGCATATATCATTATGCAACCTCCATAAAATGCCCACAAAGTGCCAGTTCTATGTCAGACTTTTGGCACACACACAAAAAAATCCCCCTCTTCATGAATTTCATAATCTTGTGGAGAACAGAAAGAAGATTCACTACAGTTAGAACTCTCCTACACTGCTGATGGGAGTGTAAAATAGTAAAATCACTTTGGAAAAATAATTGGTAGTATCTACTAAAGATAAATGTATGTACACTCTGTAAGATTCAGCAATTCCATTTCTAAGTATATACCACAACAGAAATGCATACATGTGCTTACCAAACATGTACAACGATCTTCATAACAGCACGATTAATAAAAACCTACACTGGAGTCCTCCCTGGTGGCACAAGGGGTTAAAACTCAGCACTATCAAGCTATCAGCAGCCACTGCAGCACCAGTTCGATCTCTAGCCAGGGAGGAGGCCTCCCCTGTATCGCCTGCTGCTCCCCTCAGCAGTGTATTTGAGTAGATCTGCCTGCTCTGCTCCCCACTCTGTCTCTGATGAATTCTCTCACTCCCCTGTACCTCTGGCCTACACCCCAGGTCTTGTATGCATAAATAAATAAAATCTTTTTTAAAAAAATAAAAACTGGGCCTCCCCAGTGGCGCAGCAGTTGAGCGCTGGGTTACGAGGCTGCCCGCAGCCTCTGCAGCGCCGGTTCAATTCCTGGCTGCCAGGCGAGGGTCCCATATGGCGCACAGACCTCTCCTGTCTTGCCCGCTGCTCCCCTCAGCAGTGTACTTCGTCAGTCTGGCTGCTCTGTTCTCCCCTCTGGCTCTGGTGAATTCTCTCACCCTCCCGCACTTCTGACTGTACCCAGTGCTTGTATAAATACATAAATAAATCTTTAAAAATAAAAAATAAAAATAAAAACCCAAACTGTAAGCATTCCAAATATCCATCAATATAATAAATGAATCATTGTATACTTATGTAATAAGTATACACTTATGTAATAAAATACTATATAATACCAACAAAGAAAATGAATATATACTATAATCTTTTTTTTTTTTTAAGATTTATTTATTTATTTATACAAGCACTGGGTACAGTCAGAAGCGTGGGAGGGTGAGAGAATTCACCAGAGCCAGAGCGGGGAGCAGAGCAGGCAGACTGATGAAA